AAGTTCTCTTTTTCTTCTGATGATAATCTCCTTGTCCATGGATCACATACCATCCATGAACTACTACATGGATGATTGTGGAGCATGTTGTAGGATTTGATGACATATCCTTGCTCCTCTACTCTTACACGGAATTTAGATTGGTAATTACGGAATTTGGACCTTAAACATCAGATATTAGTTAAAGATCTTACGGTTTTTGCTTCACTTTCAAACCTTCCGATTTCCGCTTATGACCAAACGTACAATTAAACGTTACAAACAGGTATTTCAACCTGACATCCTCTAGCAACCTGCTTTCCGTATGAATGTAACGAGTATAAGTAAACTGAGAAGCGATAAAATTACTATTCCATACTTTTTGGAACTCTTTTAAGGCGATATCAAAGTGATCACAGCACGCGAAACGCTTGTTCAGTATCATACTTCGAAAGGCTTCGCTAAGGTCGACTGAAATGTCACTTGAGCATGAAGCACTACAAAGAGAGATGATTAATTATAAAAACGTTATTCCTTGCAACAATAATAACCCAAAGAAATACTACAAATAATTAGGATTTACCTGTGACTTGACATTTCGTTTAGGTTTACTACAGTTGTTGGGATCACGGATCAAATTACAAAGTAACAACAGAGCCAAATTGTACACTACAAAACAGAGAATGTTAAATTAATGCTTTTGGTAGTTATTTCGGGCTTTTTTATACAGCATAAGACGACTTATATATGAAAAAACTTGATACTCATGCAATCCAACCAACCCACGGCAATTGAAATACGGAATGACCGCCTCTAGTCAAGCCGTTCAAGGTCGTTGAAACGAAATGGCGGGCACGTTTCGAAAGGACCTAACGTTTTAACCGTGACCACAGACCATAACCATGTAATTTACATTTAATAACGCGGATCAGTCCTATAGTCAACGACTTTATTAGGTGACGTCACGTTTTATGCCTATCTTTTGTCTCTTATACTACTACGACAATAAACCTGTCCCGCCGAGGTACGTGGTGATTGCTTATAACTAAAACGTATCAGTCGATGGAAATTCACATCATAAATCTATATGGCTTTTTTGCCTCAATATTCCTTACTTGATCTTTCAAACAAGCAAGGCTTCAAGGACACCTATTATCGAAACCTGTAGTTTAAAAATGTTTTCTACTTTCATATACTATGTGTTACAGCTCTAAGGTAATACAAAATGAAATGATATGGAGTAAATTCGTTGTTTGGTTAACAAGCGGACGTCTCACCTACGCCGCAAACGAGAGAAGTTGATAGAAGTTAATAAACCTTCCTGAATTCGTGCCAATACTTCATCAGACACCGGGACTGATCAGACTTTCAACATAAGTGAAGTGATCGATACGTTCGACTACTTCGTTCCCTACCATTAGTCCAAACGTTGACACAGACCAGTTGTGAAGAAGCATTTAGCATGATTATCATAGGCGAAATGGCGTCCCTAATTATAATCTAGGACAATATGAGATCGAAGCCAGTCAGATAAACTCAGGTTGTAGCCACGATCTCAGTTAATTTAACTTCTGAAATTGCTGCTCTCCTTCACTTCAAATGCTGAATGACGGAAACACTAACCTCTTCCACTTCATCCTTGTAGAACCATACCGAGATATGTCCTCGTATACATGTTGAAAGTGAGCGTAGGCTTCGACCTCTTTACCTTACTCCACATGAGGTGAGCAAGTCGGTAAGTTTCTGAACCTGCAAGTAATATCGAATAGTGAGTATGATATTACATGATGAAAGACATGAATTTCCGCTTGTATTTTGCTGTTGTTAATATAATATAGATATGTATTCAAGATTGCGTTTGATCATTCTCTGTTGACATACTCGTACCTTGACCGAGTGATCTGAAATGGCCTTAGATTAAAGTTCATGGCATCTTTGAGGTTGCAGTCAGCAATCCAAGGAACGCGTTTCATATTATTATTCGTCAGTTTAATATATCTACACCCAAGTATCGATGTTTACAATGAGACTCAAAACCACTAACCATCCCTACAAATCATAACTCGTTATCGACTGGTTTCAAAGAGCCACCAACTGGTTGAACGGGTATCCTACCGAATGTTTCGTAAATCCATGAGATTTAACATTTAGTCATTGTGTACACAACACCACAAACTCTAAAAGCTCAATTTTCATAAAGAATATGTTAGTTCACTCATGATTCAGTTATTTCAAGGTACGTCCTATCCATATAGATTTTTAAAACATAAACAACTGTTTTTGAAATCACGAACCAATCAATGTTAGATCACCATTGAAAACATGGACAATCCTATCTCGTTTTAATATCCAATTATAACAAGAGTTTCATCCACTACTACTACTACTGTATTTATTTATTTTAACACATAGACATTGGTAAAAGGAGGCGCCAAATACATATGCGCCACACAAATCTCATTCGATATGTGTGAAAGCTGTGATACTGCCCGGACCGAAGCAGATGGTTTTCTTAGGAGGTCACACACTGTATTACTATTTACAATATTTCATAGTAAATGCTGTTGATAGTCACAAATATGACAACAAAAGTATATTCATGTTCATTTTAACAGCTATTTTATTTTTAAAGAAAAACATTTCTCACTACTTAATCACATTTAAATTATAAAAATTAAGCATTAGATTTTTCAATAAGATAAGTAAATGAAGATCAAAAGAAACTAGTATACCATATTTTTCCACTTAACAATATGAATTAGCCATTATGAGATAAGATAAAATTGACTTACATCTTAGAATAAACAATCTCATATTATAATGCTAAATCTCCGATATCTACAAAATACCTTAATCATGATCATCAACAATCGATGAATATATATCCAGCTTTTAGATTGTGATAAACTTGTATATACAACAAAAAAAAGAGACGATTGATCCATCTTTAGTACATGTTAAATAACTCTGTCTGATCCTGATTTAGATTGTTAGTTAATCAATGATAAAATATGATTTGATCTTAAAATATCTTCATCGCAAACTTTCTAACTAAAACAAACCAACAGAACTGGATGGAATTCATTACCTATAATCCGCAATCATTATTACTTCACACACAAAAAAAAAGAACAACCTTAACATTGTTTACCATTAACCGATCATGAGGACGATAATCATTGGATGAATAAATTAGTCAGGAAATGATGAACTCATCTTAATTAATTATAAAGATTAATAGTGATTTTCTTTTTGTATTTTCGAAACTATATTACCATATTTATGAATCTATTCTCAGCTAACAATCAAATAAAACAATTAATTCATATGTGCTCACTAGTGACTAGCTCCATGAGGGAATTCTTAGGGTTCTAGTGAGCTAATCAGTGTCGGGTAGACACAGGTATCTACTTCAGTACAATGGGAGATGGTCGCGCAATTTCGTGGATTGGTTGATGTTAGACATTAACACTATTGAATGCCGGCTTAGTGTTCGCGCAAGAAACTGAAGGCCCTGTGTTCGAATCCCGCGAGCGGGATCGTCGGTGCGCACTGCTGAGGAGTCCCACAATAGGATGAAACGGCCGTCCAGTGCTTCCAGGTTTCCAAATGTAGTCTAACATCAACCAGTCCATAATCTCAATTAAAAGCTTAATAATCTCCACAACCCCTATACTGGTAAACCTAAATTATGATTAGCTCTTCTGTTTAAAGAGATTACTAATTTCTAACTTATTTTCCCAGCTATTTCATTTAATAATAAAACACAAATCATAATTAATAATAATTAACAATGAATTAATTAACATAAAGAAAAAGAGAGAGAAAATGCTTTTTACAGAAGAATAAAAAGATAGAGAAGTGAAAAAAAGAGAAAATTACGATTAAAACTTGTTTTACACATACCACAGAATATAATTTTACTATCCTGTGTTATAAATAGTTATATATATATATATATATATATATATATCGAAACCCATTTTGGCTAAATGTCATAACAGTCAACATTTCATCATTGTAAATAGTAATAAAAACAAACAAACAAAAAAGATGAGGAGTCAGCAAAGATAAACTGGTTGTTTTCGCTTTTGGTTGCTTTTTTCTTTCTTTCTTTCTTTCTTTCAATCTTTCCCTTTTTTTTGAAAGGAAGACACATAAAGAAACTGATTTCATTGTAACAATACGATTAGTCGTAGTGGCAATAGTGCAAATAAAAATATATGTCATTATTCATATGATATTTTCAAGTCGTCTACATATATATTTATGCAATGAATATATATATATATATATATATATATATATATATATATATAGATAGATAGATAGATAGATAGATAGATAGATTTATACGAGTAAAATGTACCGGGTTAAAATAAGAAACAATGTAAATGAATAAATAAATAAATACATAGACACAATTGTTTACCTCTTTAATTAGTATTATTGTTCATTGGTTACCTATATGGAAATGATTGTTAGTAAATAGTGAACTATGATATTGGAAAAAGGAAAAAAACAACAACAGAGAAGTAGATTAAACAAACAAAACAATACCCAATTTGATGGAATACACTAATTTAGTAATAATAAAACAAAAGTACATTCGATTATTTTATATTCTTTTATTTGATCGTCTATTAAATATGTTGCTATGTGTCAATTCACGTAAACGATTATTGGAATCATCATATATAAACAATTGTCAAGTTGAATTTATGTACGTCAACAACCAATCACCTAACCCCCCCCCCACACACACATACACACACACACAATGACTATCAGTTTACAATGTATGATCTGCCAAAAAAGACAAAAAAATAATAATAATCGAATAAATCATTCACATTATCCTCATCATTAATTTTTTTTAGAAAATTTATTTTAAGAGAAAAACCAAGAAAATTTTTTTTTCTTACAAAAAAAATGATAAACAATAAGAAGAAGAAAGAGACAAATGAATTCATTGTTGATGATAATGGATAGATTCTCTTTCCAAATTACCCCTACTACTATAGTAGTAGTAGTAGTAGTAGTGGTGTTGGTAATATCCATGTTATTTGGTTGATCATTTTATATCCATGTGAAATAGACTACATTGAAGAGAATTGGGGCTAACTAACTACTCTATCTTATGTATGCGCTTGTTAGGTAATATTATTATTAATATTGTTAACATGATGATGATAAAAATACTACTGATAATCATACCAAATAAGTATTATAACAATACATTATAGTTATAATACTTGTATTGTATTTATAATGTGAATATGAATAAGAATACTTTGCAATAAACATGATATACACATTACTAAATAGTAGTGATCATATTAAAATGTCTATATGAATGAACGATAGAGAGAGAGACTCATTATTGATTCACCTATTCACTCATTCACAAACACAAGTAAACACATAGACACAGAGGCAGGTAGAGAATGAATGAATGAGTGAGTGAAGAGAAGAGAAGAGAAGAGAAAAGAAGAAACAAATACATTATACATAAATAAATAGATACATACAAATACATTCAATGCATTTAAAGAAATGGATAGATAGATGAAAGGTGTATATATCTCTCTATATATATGCATAGATTATATATGTTTATCATTTTTAAAACAAAACAAGCAATAACAAGGTAAAGAAGAGAATGTGTTTCGATTGAAAATATGCAGACGTATAGAGATATATAGGTCTACAAGAGAAATGAAAAGACACACACACAGAGAGAGAGAGAGACTATTCATACATTACACACACACACACATAGAGATCCACGTATATTTACACATACTAATTGTTGTGTGTAATAAATAAATAAAAGGAATATTAAAATCAACTCTGTCTATTACTATGATTATTATTAATATGGTTATTTGATGGAAGTACAATCATCATCATCATTATTATCATAATACACATAATCAACAAATATTTGGGGAAACATTTTTGTTGATAGAAATTATCATTCGTACATCATAAAAGAAACACAACAAACAATGATGACATCTTCTTTGTCTCTATGTAACTGTATTTATGTGTGTGTGTGTGTGTATGTAAGATTAAGATTAGTTTGATAATTAAAACGAAACATATTCATTTAAAATAATAATCATTTAAGAAAATTAAATGGAAGAAACTCCCAGTTACATGATGATAATGATGATGATCATCTCATTATTGAATGGTGTATGAATAACCATTTTAAAAAATGTAATCAAATACATATTCACATTGACATACAAAGAATAATAATAATAATAATACAATAGACAATAAGTGATTTGTTAAAAAAAATAATAGAGAAATACAATACAATACAATAAGAGACAGCAGTAATGATAGCGATCCAAATCCAGTAAATGAGTGAATGAGAAAGGAGAAGAATGGAAACAATTAAACATTCATGTCATTCATACAATATACTTTGAAAATATACAAAAGATAAACATATATATATATATATTAATTATTCTCTCTGATGAATGTGTCTTTATTATTGTCAATCAATCAATCAGTCAGTTAGGAATACAAACAAGAAAGGAAATAGAGAGAGAGAGAGAAAGAGAATAACAATAGCTGAACAAGACAATGAGTTAAAAGAAATGCAATGTGATTAAGCAACTTTAAAAATAGAGAGAACAAAAAAGAAAAAAACAGAAGACAACTTGACTGAAATCCTCTACATGATGATCTTTTTTATATCTAACACCATTATATATATGTGTGTAAGAGAGAGAGAGAGAGAGAGAGGAAAGGAACGCAAAGTAGGTGTAAAACAAACATACAAACGAGAGAGAGAGAGAGAAGAAAACAACACAGAGATCACATATGAATTGATAATAATCATGATTATACTGAATACTGACAATAATAATAATGAGATAATAATTAGTAGTTTTAATGATGAGAATCGAATTGATCATTATGGAATAAGACAATTGTAGCAGTATTATTATTATTATTATTATTAAATAATGAATAAACAAATAATTATAATATAAGCAAATAAATTAATGTACGCGTGTAATTGTTGTACACATGTATATGGCACAAATTTACATCCATACAAACACGCACGTAAACAAGGGATAAAATGATTGGAAAAAAAAATAGAGGACAATAGAGAGAACATGATCCTAATTATCAGTATAAATTACAATTGGAACGTCTTTTTCATACATAAAAATGGGAAAAAAAAGTTAGTAGTAAACCAGTGAGTTTCATCACTATTTGAGCTATATATATAAATAGTCATGCATATAAATACATTTATATAAGTGGATACATAGATGTTTTGTATTAGCAAGAATAAATTCTACCAAAGTTCAACTGTTTCTTTCATGTATGTATGCAAGTGTGTGAGTATGTGTCTACATTTGAGATGCTGCCGAATGTGGTAGATAGTAGGGTGAGAAGAAAATGCTCGGTGATGGTTGTAGTACATGTAGTACTGGAGCTGTATTATTATTATTATTATTATTATTTGAATCGACACCACTTACTCGTGTAGTTGAATTATTTGCTTGAATGTGTTGTTGTTGTTGTAATGTTGCCGTTGTTTGTGCAATTTGAATATGATGTTGTTGTTGTTGTGATGAATCGGACAATGTACTTGTTGGACAATGAAATTGATGATGTGAATGAGGAGTTAACTGACCATTAATAATAGATCTATCAGATTCTGTTAAGTTATTTTGTATTGAACCATTGAATAAAGGAAGAGTTACAAATGTAGGAGCAGATGTACCACCATTACCAGCTATTACACTAGCAGTTGATAACATAGTTGTACTGGTTGATTGACTTAAGTGAGGTGGTCGTGGGGCAGTTACAAGTGGTAATTGTTGTTGTTGTTGTTGAGATGATGATGAAGACGGTTGATTAGGTTGAGCTAATTGTGTAGGTGAGATCGTTATAGTAGAGAAATGTGAACCAGAAACCATAGCTTGCCTTGATTGTTGCTGTACAATAGAGGAAGGAATTAATTGAGCTTGTGAAACATGATTAATACCAACATTGCCACCGCCACCACCTGTGGCTAAAATTGGCCATACTGCAGTGGCAGTAAGCTGATGAGATGTTACTTGTTCCGAATTATGTTGCTGTTGTTCTTGACCCTCAGAAACAGTTAATATATTACTGCCTGATGATAAGCATACTTGTTGAATAGAACTATTAAGATCACCGGGTAAAATTTCTTCAACTTTACTAACTGGTAATAATGTAATGGTTGTAGTTGATTGATTATTCATTGTATCTGATGTTGAATCAGTTTTATGTGATTGACCTAATGCACCACTGACTACTTCTTCTAAACTAGATAATGTCCCAATATTAGTTGATGCAATTGTTCCTAAATTTGATAAAAGATTTAAATTACCAAGATTTGTTGCATTACCACTACTTTTACTATGAGTTCGTCGATGATTTACTAACGAACCATAATGTTTATAGGATCGATCACATAATCCACATGAAAATGGTCTATCTAATTTATGAACAGCTGCATGACGAACTAAATAACCTCTTTGTGTGAATGCACGACCACAATCAATACAAATAAATGGACGAATATTAGTATGACATCGAAGATGTGCAGCAAGACGACATTGGAAAGCAAAACGACGTGGACAAGCAGGACAAGGATAATTACATGGACGACCTTTACGATCTAATGGAACTGGACCACCGATAGCAGCAGCCGCCGCTCCAGCAGCAGCTGCAGCAGCATTAACATCGATGCCTTCACTTAAATTAATCCCAGCTAATAAATTCAATCCATCACCGGTCTACAATAATAAGAAGTAAAGAAAACCATGCTATTAAATAATTGTATAAATTATGTGCAAATCAAACAATGTGCCAAACTAGTTACACAACGTTATCCAATTGGAAAAATTTCATAGCATTCAACGATTTAACAAATAGAAATAATTTTTTCTTGCTTGAATACACGATATGTATATAATTATAATTTATTATAGAAATATAAATGGGATAAATCACTTTTTCTCTCTCTCCACATATAAAGGTAGCTAGAGCGGGGTTCGAACCTTCAAGTTATTATTTGAAACTTTAGTGCTTTGACTAATATAAGCCACTGCACAGCTAATAGTAGTACAGTTAAGAAGTTTTTAAAAGATATTTATAATTCAACTAATCATATTAGACGAAATACGAACCTATTGTGTGAATCAGTTCCAGTTAGTAAGTATTATTAACGAATGCTGGGAGTGTAATCACTTGACATATGAAGTGATACACAATTATATCATACACCTTATATAATTTCATGACCTAACACTCTCTCTTACATACACCCGAAAACATGCACTGAAGAAGATTTATAAACAGTTTGTAATGACCACAGTCGACTTCAATTCACAACCGTAAATATCAAACATAATTTGTGCGATTTTCTATCTCCTAAGACTGAACAATTCCAGCTAGTGACTGATTTGATGAAACCAAAAGAAATAGATGATATAAAAAAACATATAAGAATTCATCTAAAAGGCAATTGAAGTTAACCGAAACACGATCATTGTCATCTCTATCATAGAATCATGAATATATAAACACAGCACTATACCGAGTTATGACTGTTAGTGTAAGGAAGGCAAATAAATTGAATGATCCTTTGTCGCATTCACACTGAGGAAGATGAAGAAATTGAAGCTGTGAGTAAGCTGAAGAATTAGTGTCACATTGGACTATATGGTCTCAAATTTCCAATAATAGAATAATTGAGAAATGAATGGAAAAAACTACTGCTTACCAATTTTCCAAACGCATTTTGAGCTTGTTTCGGTTTAGATTTTCGACGCCATTTCCTTTTATTCGGTGATCCAATATTAGTTGTCGTTGTTGTTGTACCTAAAATAGAATCCATTCTTCCACCATTATTACTAGTGATAGGAGCCATAAGACTGGAAACATTACTACTATTCACATTTGAAGAAGCAAGGGATGTGGAAGACATGAGGGTTTCATTTTGAAGATCACCTGTGAAAACGGGATTATGTATGAATTACATGCTAAGTTACCAATCCTAAACTGGGAGGCGGACAAAACAACTACTTAATTTATGATTCAAAGACTATGGAATGATCACTATGTTGAAGTAACTAATGTAGTGTGTTAAAGCTGCCGACTCTGGTTGAGTAATCAGGCTTGCCTATTGAAACTACAGCAGAACCATTCATATTGACTAAGAAACAACTTTCGAAGTTTGAATACTGGAAGTGATAAAAATAAAGGTGATGAACTGGAGATTAGATGAAATCATAATACTGAATGTACCGAAGTGCAGTAAAAGTAGGTTTTCTCAAACAGAATATCAACTATCTTCTCACAGTTTAAAAAAATGAAATCAGAATAGATCAGTTTTTAATATAAACACCTATCTTTTATTATACAATGGGGTTACTGTATGTAGTGATTGGAAACAAATGTTGTCAAACAGATCAAGTGCATGGTTAAGAATAATCAATTCCTGAGTGGTTGTCGTCACATTACAACGTCGATAAAAATAGTTGATACTAATTCAAGTTCCTTAGAAAAGAAATATCCTTTAATAGTGTGAGGTATCCGGAAAGTATTTACCTACGAACATAACTATTATCACTGAAGTTCATATACTTCATCACTACTAACATTCCTCCTCGTATCATAAATCTTTTTAGCTTACTCATATATAATCATTCATTCATCACTGATTGTATTCTTTTCAGTATGGGTAACTAATGCTAAAGATTTAATTTCACTAAGCCTTATTCTTAATCTCCTCAAACTATGCTTTAAACTGTATTAGAGTTTTTAGTGTTTAAAATCTGTTAAATCGTATAAATCTCGCTAACTGAATTTTAAGAACACTCAACCACAGTGGTATGTTGTTTATGCCGATGAAATCGGTTGCAATACCCTACTATGATTATTTTACTTGGTTTTAAATACCTAACATGGTAAATCAGGACTACATTCTTTTATCGCTTATAGACAGTAATATTGTGTAACTTCGTAGGTAACAAATTAAAGAGTGGAAAATCCATTTTTCCAGTAGATTCCAGTCGCACACATTTAACCTGTTTAAATAAAAAGGAAAACTGACTGGACTGACAGTACCTAATGAACATCTTTGGTTTCATTTGAAACTAGACAGATTAGTTAATCTTAGCATTATACTACAACACGTAAAAAAGAGGCAGAAATAAACTTGAACAGAGGATATTACCGACCTACACCAAGTTAGCAAAAAAGCCTGAGGAATCCAACTACGTCGTGAGTAAAACAGTTAATCAGCCCAGGTTATAGATGATCACACAATACGGCAAAAGGATCAGTGTAGACACTAAAACCACTGGATACCGACTCATTTTTTTAAAGGTTAAGTGTTCATGCGCGATAACGAAGTTACTGGATTCGATTCTTAGGTGCAAGGTCGCGTATGCCCACTCTTGAGGAGTCTCATGCTAGGGAGAAATGATTGTTCAGTCCTTACAGATTTTCAATGACGATCAGATCATGATTTAAAACCGATAAATAAATAAAAAATTACAAGTGATACAAGGGGTTTTTATGTTTAAAAAATATTAAAAGGCTTTATCGTTAGCGGATTCAAGTGGTATAATCTGAGCTAACATTGAATGACTGATACTTCTGTTAAGAAAACAGTTCACTTACTTCCATTTAGAGACATTGTTGGAATTCCGTTAACTGTTGCAGTTGTAACATATGATGTTAATCCTGGTAAATGTGTGAATGCTTCAGAAAGTGAAGATGACCCGTTAGCTGCAGCGGCGGCCGCAGCTGCTGCTACAGCGGCCGCAGCATCAGCACGATGTTTCCACCGAATATGCATCTGAAGACTGGATGAAGAACGGAAAGAACGTTGACAGAAAGGACAAGGACGACCTGTAGCTCCAGCACAATGAAAACGTCGATGATTTGATAAACATGAAGCCTAATGAAAAATGAACATAGAATATGGGATAATAATAGTGAAAAGTATAAACGAACATTAGTGAACAAATTTATTTCTAAAATAGAAAAATAAGAACCAAAAAAAGATGTTAGTTTTACTTCTTTCATACCATTCAATGTGATATCAAAACTATTGTATATGCTGGATATTACTTTTGAGCCACAATTTTGATGGGATGAATGGCGATTCTTTATTTGAATACCCAGACCGAAACAGTATCAATAATTAACTTATTAATTAGAAACTGAGTGTTTCAACAACTAAGCCATCGTTATTACATTGTCTCTGATGTTATCTATGTATCCTCAAGATAATCCTCATATATATTTTTCGTCCCATTATACAAGGGTCACTGGTATTTAAAGGTGAATGGAAACAAGGCAGTTAGGCATATGCAACGTAGAACCTGGCAGATGTGTGCATCGGTTTAAGCTGTCACAAAGTAGAACAGCCAGATTAAATGGTCAATGTATATCCCACAATTGTACATGTATGCATAAACAGTAATAGTGGTATGATGTGAGGGATTAGTGAGATTTATAAAAGCAAGATAGTAGGGGGTAATGTTTCATAATTCCCTACTGTCGGAGTATCAAGAAGATTCGCTGATTACATGGTTTCAAATCACGAACTAGTCTTAGTTAGGCCATCAACAGAAATATGTAAGGACTGGATGGTTATTTCTCCCTGGCATAGGACTCCTTAAGAGTGGGCATCCACAACCTTGCATCTGAAAATCGAGTTAATAAAATCAACTAACTTCGTCAAGTGCAAATATTAATTAACTAATTGATTACTTGACGGAAAGATTTTCCACAAACTGTACAATGAAATCTTGGTTGACTTGAATGAGTATAACGATGACGTTGTAAATTTCCTCTATCTGAAAAAGCTCGTCCACAATCAGCACAAGGAAAAGGACGTTCACCAGTATGACGTCGAGTATGAGCGATAAGACGACATCGCATACCGAATTCTCGACCGCATACACCGCATCTAAAATTAAATAAACAAAATTAATTGAATTATTTCATTTATATCAAGTTAAAAGTAGTAAACGGTAACAATATACCCACATACAGATGAATTACATTGTACATTTGATCGAAGTTTATAACGCATCTAAAGTTCACTAAAAATCTAAAAGGTATTATTTGCACTCTAGTGATAAATTCTTATATCACTTCTCTTAGAACAGCAAATACTTGAGAAAATAAAAAAAAGAATTAATGAATCTTATCATAATGTGTATAAACAAACACCGTTAAATTCACTTTCCCCGAACGAGTCTGAACATGCAATTATTCAACGTAGAATGATCCACATTTGTGAATATGAAATTATAGATATGTGAACAGTTGAATCAACATTTAATAACTAATCGATGTAGGTAGAAAGTCATGACATATTACACTTAATAATAAGCAGGAAATTATGTTTATTAATAATGAGAAATATAGCTAAGTCAGTCAGTTAGTAGGGAACACCAACGTAGAGAAAGATCCAACTTGAAGTACTAACAAGATGAATGGGAAAAGAGATCGAAATAATGTGGTAACCATGATAATAAGAACGACTGAACATTGGGATTATAGTTTTAAAAGACAAAGTGGGAAAGAATATACGAAGGAATATTGAGATTCAAAATTTTGCCTACACTATAATCAACATAAATTGATGAAAACCAATAGAGCCTTCTGAATTCGTACCAATATTTCATCAGACACCAAAACACTGGGACTGATCAGAATTCCAAGATAAATGAAGTGATCGAAACGCGCGATGTTACATCCGAACGAAGAATAAATGAGTGGTAACTACTAGGGATTATTTATGGACAATTATTACATATATATCCTTATTGGATAATTATTAAGTAACTAGATTATATCTATATTCATATTCCTTTTATCATAAGCTTTCATTTGACCAATTGGCTACTGTTATACGATTTACCATCCTCAATTTATTCCCACTTTTGGCTTGATCTTGAATAATTGTTATTTTTCATTTTATGGTGTGAGGTGGTCTGGCTTGCTTGTACATAAACCACGTATGTCTGAAATATACAAATCACACAGTCCAGGCTAGTATTCGTGTTCTGGACTGAACGAACTGGATTAGGAGAGAAGCTACTATACATACAGAGGACCACTAAAGACTCCGAGTTGACACAAGGTTGTTAGTGCTGGTTGGTGTATCAGTGGTTCAGCACAGGTACAAGGTCATATAAGCCGGTGTTCTGATTGGAGATCCTGTCATGTAATATTTGACGGGCCATAGAACATAATATTCAACTACTTTGCTCCCTACCATTGGTCCAAACGTTGACATAGACCAGTTGTGAAGAAGCATTTAGCATTTGGACGGATAGAAACCCATCTCAACACGCTTGCATCATCGCTCAACGAGATATGAACACTGTATTTATCAGCGTCCTCATTAAACAGCATTTTATCATTTGCATATCCTAAGTCAACAAGTGAATCATCTGGTAAGAGGTCGATTCCTGAAAAGTTGGACGATGAGAGAGCTGTCACTAGGAGAATATCTATGAAAAAATTAAGTAAAGAGGGAGACAGTAAGCAATCTTGACGAACACCGCTTGAGGTTGAAAATCTTGACGACAGTTTGTCATAAACTCTGACTTAACGATTAACATGAAAATCTCGCATACATAAGAAACTCTAACATGTTTATCAAGTATACATCACTTAGTAAGTTTAAAACGGAATGGTGGTTTAGTAGTAAGCGATGGCGTTCGACTTCCGGCCACTAGATCACAAGCTCGAATCTTGCTACCCGCCTACTCCAGTTAAGGTATTCGGGCAGCATATCACAAGTTCTCATTACAGAGAAACAAGCAGTAAAATAAAGTATTCATGAATAATAAACTTACACAAAATGTCCTGTACCATTGTTATCACGTTTCACTGTAGTTGAACTAGCATCCAAACTACTATTATTTCCTTGAGATGGTGTACCTAGTTGAGTAGACTGGGATAATAGTTCTTGATCAGACTGTTTTTGTGGTGTATGCACTGGTGTAGTAGATTGTAATTTTTCTTCAGTTTTTTGTAAATTTTCATTATTATTATTATTATTACTATTATTATTATGATTTGAATGATTTTGTGAAGTTGAATGCACCGGTTGATGAGTTTGTTGAGAGGATAGCATATTAAGTTGTGATGCTGACGATATGGAGCTTGGCAACAGAACAGTGGCGGCAGCAGCAGCAGCTGCTGCCGCAGCAACGGCGGCGGTCGACTGTTGTTGTTGTTGTAGATGGACACCTGGATGACCTGTAAGTGTTTGAACATGTTGCATATGTACAGATGTATGCGGATGATGCGGTTGTTGTAATGAATGATGAATTTGAAACTGTTGTTGTGGCGGTTGTTGACCAGTTTGCTGTGTATGATGGTGCGGATAAAAATGAGCAGTTGTAAATAAAGGTGCTAAAGAAGCGGAACTAGACACAGAAACCGCATTTGAACCGGATGCACCACCGACGCCACTGCCACCAATTCCAACTAATCCTGCTCCAGATGCAAAGAGATGATTAGCATTATTGACTTGATTCGAACCAGTAGCATTATTCAAAGTCATCATTCCGCTAGGTGTGGCTGATACAAGTCCACCAGTTAATAATTGTCCAGCTGTAGCATGACACGATGCTTGATTAATAATTGTTGCTTGATTACCAGCACCACTACCACCAGGTGTAGACGAACCAATCGACATATGATGAGTAGTAGTATCATTTGATTGTCCAGTATTGAACAATCCATTTGCGGCAGCAGCAGCAGCTGTGGGATAAGGAAAATACATTAATTGACCAATATATTGTGATTGATCGTATGGTAATACAGTTGGTAATGCAGCCGCTGCGGCAGTTTGTTGTAATGTTTGAAAAAATTCAGCATTTGGAAAGACACTTGGATGAGTTGAATGACCACTGGCAGCAACAACATTTTGAGCAATCGATTGAACAGGATGAATTGATGCAGATAAATGTGGCTGAGATAGTCGATGCAATTGAGAATGCTGACTTGGATTGTGCTGTAATTGTTGTTGTTGTAACAAATGTTGCTGGTGTTGTTGATGTTGTTGCTGTTGTAACTGAATTTGTTGATCAAACACATTTGTTGGTTGTAAATTATTTTGTGAATGTTGTTTTTGTGCTTGTGAATTGGACTGTGGGAATGCAGCTGCGGTTGCTTTCATCGTCACTACACTAGTTGCCCCACCACTTGACATACTGTGTGTGCTTTCAAATTAGTTCCAATTCAATGCTTTAATAAATAGATATATACAGAAAAAAAATGTAATAAGCGAATACTTAAAAAAAGATCTTTTCTTAAAAACAAAAAAGACGAAAAAACAATCTTTTTATAATAAGTAATGAAAACATAACATGTTTACTTGTGCTATATTGCAAGATCTGTATAAGTTAATGATACAAAATAACATGAAATGAGTAAAAACACAATAAATTTATATTATACTACTTAAATCATTGTTTTTTTTACTTTTCTTTAATTAAGAGAATTACCCATGTGTACAAAACAAGTGTTATGTATCATTATCAACATTGATCAAAGTTATCACATCTCATATCGGTACAATGAATAAATATCAACAAAATAAAATGATGATTTAATTTAAGCTTTAATGAATATGGAAACATGACAGATACTAGTTTAAAAATAAAAATAAAGATTGAGTTAAGAATAACTTATGATTCAGAAGTGAGTAAACGAATCAAAGTCTACAAAGTTATTTTACAAACAGGTATCATTTAAATGATATTTATGATAGATCTAAATACACTTTGCTAGACTCACTAGCTAAGTGGATAACACGATGGCGTTTAGAGCGAAGGTACTGAGTTCAAGTCCCAGAGTAAACATCAACTCTGAGATGCAGGTACATCCGGCTGACGAGTCCCAAATAGAACGAAACACACGTCCTGAATTCCACTATTTGCCCCCAAATGGCCTGGTACACCCGAGAGTGGGGAAAACCCGCTCTCCCTCTTCAAATGCTCTCACATAGTCATGCGTATATACTCTGCCACGGAAGTCCTACTCACTGCATTCTCGCACGAGTGTTGTTTACGAAATTGAGAGGACGAAAAGCGAATGTCCGGCACCGACTTTAACTGGGTTGGTGGGCACAGAGAGTCCACCTAAGGGAGTTGGAAAACCCTGATTCCAAACCAATGGTACACATGACCTCCAGTATCCTGAAGGAACAAATGGCGTATGAACCAGTCGTTGGTCACCGGCTACCACGGGACTGCATATCCTGACGTTGCTCCACTGCCTTATGGATCAGACCTTTAGGTCGAAGGCTCGGGGTGTGGCCCCCTAAGAAAATCACCTGTCATGATTCAGGCACCCAGACAGTATCCCATCCCTCACACCAATCGAATGATTTATGTAGTGCATATCTATTTGGTGCCCCCTTGTACCAGTATTTATGTTTAAATAAATACAACTTTGGCCTATTTGATCAAGGTATTCAACTACTAACTGATTAATTGATCTAAGCAGCACTCAGTTATTAAACCCTAGATTCACAGACCTAATTTTTTTCCTTCAATTTCCTTTAGTTTTCATATAGTGGAAAATTATTCATTCGCCAGAGCTATTCGGAAACAATAATGAATAAATAAACATAATATAAATAGTATCTGTTGTCTCATAGAAAACAAACCATAGATTTTGATTTTTTTTTACTAGCACGTATTTTATACCTATTATTTTTGTTAATGCAAGTAAATGAAAGGAAAAAAGACAATGAACCACAACCATTCCGCTGTCTACTAAATAAAACATTGGTAAATCTCGTGATGTTCTCAAAGTGACTTGGAAATAAACGACAGGAACTAAAAGTTTACAGAACATTTTAACAGTAATGTAAACAAAATAACAGAAGAAATGCTTCTGATGACTAGAAAAAGGAAAGCACTATTCAACTCAGTTGTTCAGTCTATAGGAATTCATCAATCCTTAGATTTACTAGTGATGTTTCTGTACGCATCACGATCAATCGATAAATACACGAAGTCTTAGAGATTCACATAAGTGTCTAAGTAATCCATGACTTCAACTGCCGATATATCAACTCCTGTCACAACCATTCAAAACATTCTACTTTAGTGAGACAAATTATTACTCTCTTTAGTGTTAAATATGGTAATTCCAATCGATACACGTTTGCGCAATGTTCTAAGTCGCTTTTATTCTTACTGGTTGATGTTCGAGATACGTTGATGCAGGTAATTAGTAAACAGCATAAAACTGGTACCATAGTTTGCCGATGAAATATTACATAGGATGACATCTTAGAAAAAATGTACAATCAAAGATATCAAACGAGGATAACACTGTCAATGTAATAGACAACATTTTCCATAAAAGCTCACGCTAGCAGTTAGTCAGACAGATAAATCCAACATGGAACCGTTTGTACCGGCACAACACAGAGATTAATGAAAAGATAAAAACATAAGAGTGAACAAAATTTGATAGTGGTATTTGAGACATAATTTGGTCTAGACTGTTAGTCTTTACCACAGCTCTTCAACTTTACCTAACAGGAAATACTAGAGTACAGAAACTATGGACGCTGATTTGAAGAACAAAATTATACAATGACATCGTTAAAACTAGTAAAGCAAATAGCCATGTGTGAAAAATTTTACACAAGTTTAGGTTTGTGAAATTTTTGTTAGAGATAATCAAAGCGAATATTGTACAAAAGTATATCAGTTTACGTTGCCACGCCAAGCTCACCATCATAGGAAAAGAATGCCAACAAAAATGTGATATTTAGGTGAACAAAACAACGAGTCATGCAATAATTAATGATGAGTGATAACATTTCTATGATTTTAAATCACAAGTGGATGCATTTGTATTATAGTGATCAAAATCTATTAGTGATTTAAAACGAAGGGTTACGAAAAACCAGTGGATTTCTACTAAGTTTATTACGCTGATAAATTCTCGCAAACTCATCCGACCAGGCTCTGAACACGATGAATAACGAAAACAAATCAGATCTAGGTTAACCAAAAGTCTAAGGAACGACCGTGAGCAGTGGTGGGCAGCAAAAGCAAAACATATGGAGAAGGCAGAGGCTGTAGATAACACCAGACGAATTTTCATACTTATAAAAGAAACTTGAATTACTTAGTCAAGTGTAAGTGATACAACCTTATCTGCTCCCAGTCCAGACGTTTAGAACGATGGGCAGAACACTTTAAAGAGCAGTTCAGCTAGCCTTCAGCTACTCTACAAATACCAACCATTCCCAGACAGTGTGAATGGAACATTGAAGTAGGTCCTCCGACTCTAGCTGAAGTTCAAAAGGCTATAGTTAATCTGAAACGAGGAAGGGCAGTTGGTTCAAATGAATTGACTCCAGTGGTATTCAAGGATGATGGTCTAGTTTTAGCGATTAAGTTAACTAACATTTTAGCTGAAATCTGTGAGTTGGATGTAATCTCATTTGACTGGTCACAATCACTGATTGTCCCAATACATAAGAGAGGGTCAAAGTCATTCTGTGATAACCATAGAAGGATTAACTTGACTAACATAGCATCTAAAATACTAGCCTCAATAATTATCGGACGCCTAACAAAGACTCGTGAATTGCAAATACGAGAAAATCAGGCTGGCTTCACATATGGTTGTGGCTGTATCGACCACATATTCACCATTCGTCAGGTTCTAGAACATAGGCATACTTATCGGCGTCCGACAATGGTGGTCTTTCTAGACTAAAAAGCAGCATTTGACTCTGTAGACCGCGAGATTTTGTGGCAGTGTCTGTCATTGAAAGGCGTACCTCAGAAGTACATAAACCTTGTGAAGGTTCTTTACTCGAACACTACCAGTTGAGCCAGAGCATATGGCGAACTGTCATCTGCTTTTGCAACCTCAAGTGGTGTCCGTCAAGGCTGTCCACTTTCTCCATTTTTGTTTAACTTCATCATAGACCTATTGATGGAAATAACATTCTCGTCTACGGAATTCTCGGGTATTGATCTCCTACAAGGAGGTCCACTTATCCACTTAGAATACACAGATGATATAGTCCTGTTTGGTGAAGACACTGATAAAATGCAGAGTCTTCTGGTTGCACTAAGCAGCAATGCCAGAATGTTTGGAATGCGCTTCTCTCCCTCTAAATGCAAGTTGTTGATTCAAAACTGGTCTGCGTCTACATTTCAACTAAGGATAGGGAGTGAAGTAGTCGAACGCGTTGACAACTTCACTTATCTTGGAAGTCTGATCAGCCATAATGGGTTGGTGTCTGACGAAATCTCAACACCCGGGCATTTGGAGGCCCGCCCCCAAATGCCCTAGTACGACCGAGAGTGGGGAGAGTTCGCTCTCCCTCTCGATATGCTCTCACATAGTCACGCGTATATACTCCGCCAGGCAAGTCCTAATCACTGCCTTCTCGTGGCGGTGTTGTTTACGAAAATGAGAAGACGAAAAGCGAATGTTCGGCGCTTTAACCGGATTCCAAACCAATGGTGCACATGGGCTCCAGTAAACCGAGGGAACAAATGGCGTATGAACCAATTGTTGGTCACCGGCTACCACGGGACTGCATCTCATTACGATGCTCCGCTACCTTGTGAACCAGACCTTCAGGTCGAATGCTCCGGGTGTGGCCCCCTAAGAAAACCACCCGTCTCAGTCTCGGCGATTGGGCAATATTCCTGCCCTCACACAAATTAAACGACGAAGTGTGACGCATACGTATTTGGTGCCTTCTTTTACCACTGTTTATGTGTTTAAACAAAGAATATGAATAAATTTTAACGTCTCAGCAGGGCTTGTTGTTCTATTTGGTCAAATAAAGGAAACGTGTCATATAATGATGAGTCATATAGCGTACGATTACATACTCCAGCTTCTAAGTTACTATTCATAAAGTATTTTGTTATTCTGACCATACACCACAACTTATAATATTCTCTTGGTAAAAACTGTTGTTAGATCCACATTACGTAACTGGGTGACATACCTCATGTTCGTAAACTATAATTTGAACCTTGCCTATAATATGAAGTGGGCTAACCAAACTAAAGTGAATAGAATAAGTCCAAATGTGACACTCGAACGTGAAAAATTGAGTATTTAAACTACTCAGATACAGCTGTTAGTGCTGCAAGCATCCTGGACATATTCGACAGCTAGTAAAAGCTTTTACGTCAATACGGCTATAAAATGTAAAAGTGTATTTAAAATATCTACATAAAAACTCCAAAGTATGTGACACACTATGAGTTAGTCAGTTATAATCAACCTCGTGCCTGACACAAATATCGATTAACTCAAGTTCCTATAATTCACCAGTACAGAAAGATAAATAGCAAAGCCTTCAGAACAAATGACAATGATAAAGACTAAACATTAAGAACATAGTTCGAGATGGAGTCCAGAAAGGACGTGAGAAGAAAGAAGGCGTGGAAAAATAATGAACACGTTTGCGCCACTGTGTCCTCTTGTCACACGTTTCCATCCACTGATAATGATAATGAGTCAGACCAACAGTCTGTGACCATACATTGGCTTCATGTCTTAGTTAGCTCCTAGTAACTTCGAAATTACTTCTAATCCAGTCAACATTATACGTCGGGGAGGACAGTACATGATGTGACTACAAAGTAGTTACATTTGTTTCCCATTATACTTTGTTTCAACATCAATCAACCACTGGGTTCCAAAAGTGTATACCGAGAACCTAAGATCCATTCCCGAAAATAACAGCCGACAAACACACATTTACGATTAACAGGGATTCTTCATTCAGAACACCATTTGGAGCTGCTATCGAGAATTTTGTATGACTTCATATTATTATTACGGAGCATATACGATATGCCCAACTTTTAATAAACAGTGTTTAACGTGACGTGTAGACGCACCGGTTAAATTGCATTTGGTGGGTAAGATAATATATTCTTACGCTGACCTTAATTTAGTATGGCCATTTTTAACATTATGGAAGAAAAGTATGCGGATAAAAACCTAACAAAGTTAAGATTGCCTATTTACATTGAACCATCAATAAGCTAACTTCACTAATAAACAGGGTGAGACTATAATTTACGGATATATCAATCAGGTATAAGATGACAGGTATCAGATTTTGGCGTGAAATTCACTCAACTATTTAGCCAAATAGAGTCTTGACATTATAACTGATGTCAGTTCGTGATGAAAACCCTAAATCTAATTCCTAACCTTAATCATCAACTGCAAATCATAATTCGAATTCCTCACACTAATTTATAACTCTCATTCGGTCCTAGTTATCAGGTGGACACTCTCAAGGTAAGTCTAGCGTCGCTCAAAGGTCGTCCGTAGATTATAGTCCCACCACAAACAGAATTAGTTTAGATACATTTCAGTGACAGCTTATAACGACCACTTCCATGAATTCCAATAAAACATCAACTGAAGCAATGAATACTTTTCCTCTAAGCGTATAACATTACAGGAGTTTTTTAATGAACCGTTAGACAGTCTTGAGATGGAGAACATTATATATAAGTCAACAAGATTCTTAAAAGTAGCCTCGAAGTTAGCTAGTCTTCTGAAACAGAAGTTATGCGTGGTTTATTTGACGGATTTAATTAAAACTACGCTAACTTCAACAAATGGTTCATGTAGATGAGCGAGGCTCTTTCTAGTATGTAATGAGCTTCTAAACTGGAGCAACGGTTGACGCATCTTGCTGTGAACAGCTGATTAATATGAAGGTGCAAACCATTAACCAAATTAAATGCCACCCAACTAACTAATGAAGTAGTCAGGGCTATTTTAACCTGCAACTTGATGATCGTAAGTCGTTTTCAAACCACTAAGCTACACTACGGCGAGAGTAAGTTTTTTGCCAACACACTAGGTTTTTAAATTAAAATGCGGCTACACTGTCATTGCTTCTGTTCAGAAACGTAGTACAATAAGACTAACCTTTACGAATGTGTTTAAGAAACACTATTTGAATGTATTCGGCTAATACACGGCAAACCACACGACATAATCCAGACAAAAATGACCCTTTCGAGTCTCATTTTGTGTTTGATGTCTATCGTGTTCGACAGGATTAACTTTAAACATCCTAACACATCTACCTGATAGATGTGACGGTAATTTTATTAAGAATAATACTGCCAGTGTATGAGATATTCTGGCTAGGCTTAGAAAGCCGAGTTAGGGTAGGTGAATTGTGATAGGAGTTGGATACTGGTGGGCTAATATGTATGCGGAAACATGTGAAGAGCTTCCACTCACAACTGTAGCTTAAAATGACCATTTTTGCCTTTTTCAAAAACATCCGAGAACTGATATTAAGGAGAGATAAAGAACCAATTCAGTGATTAACGTGGGGAGTATTTGATACGACTTTCGGAAACTGAGGTTTTGTAGAAAGGATGAACATGAGTGACTGTCCTTTGAAACGTTTGTTGCAGCGTGTCTCAGTTAAACTGAGATGTCTAGACGGGTCTTTATATGATGCTTAATAAGAAAAGAAAATCAAACCAATCAATTGCAGTTGTTATACTGGTCACAAGCGAATGTTGGGAATACACTCCGAAGGATCGATCTTACAGAAATATGATACAACTATATTCATGTGTAACATTTGCCATCTAAAAAATTCACATATCTTGTTAATGTACTTAACTAGCCCAATGTCCAGAAAACTGTAGGTAAGATTTTCAAGAATGCCGTGTTATCTATGCCACTGCCCAGAATACTGTCGAACTACTAAAATAACGTAAAAAGGAACTAGTTAAAAACTAAATCGAAGCATCAATTAACATAGTAAAACTGAAAAAAGTATAAACGAGTAAACCAGAGTTCGTTTATGCTACACTTAAAAATATGAACATCTAACCAAGGAGTTATAGCATCAACAATTCGTAGTAACACTCGAAATGCGAAACCAGACTTACAAATTTTACATCAAATGTAAACTTCCAGAACAGACTTCCAAGGAATTAATTAAAATTAACCATCCTCAATAGTAAGGAATTTAAAAGATCGCCAGAGGACTATTGATTGTAGAGTAAAACAATCAATAATGATAGTGTCTTGGAAAATTTAAATTATGAACTGTAATTAAACCTTTGTTTACAGCTTCCGTTCACATATATTCCACATGGCGTCTAAATGTATTGTACTTTGGTAATACATATTAATATCGCAGTATGTCATTATCCCTCATGTCCACGTTTTAGCACTAAGGTTTCCCAGATTTGTGATTTAAAGGTAGAACAGTGAGGTCCTGTGTTCGTCTTTTTCTGGAAATCTTATATAAATCTCCAATCTTCGCTTAAATGAACTGATCAAAGTCGGGTTCCGTTCGTTCGTGTTTTTTCAGCTCGTCCGCTGTCCTCAAAGTAATCTTCATCTAAAATGATTAAAACGCCTCTAATACAAAAAGGAAAGCTTTCCCTTAATGAACTTCCACATCTAGTGGCAGCGGACCACCGATGCTGCTAAATAGGAACCGAGGTATATTTAACGGTAAATTGGAAAATAATAATAGTAAATTGAAGCTAGGTACTGTCCTAAGTCCTTGAGAAATAGTCAGGTTTTCTCTTGAAGAACTCTCGAGAAATCGCTTGGACTAGCTCAGTTGGTAGCGAATTTCAACATTTGGTTTCTCTTAAGGAGTATAAGATGTGTGAGCAGTCCGATTTGTTATGTTGTGTCTCCATATTTGAGTGTTATCGCTAGGGTTTGTTTTGGAACTCACCTAAGACTGCCATTCATAGCGATGTACAGAACTGTTTAGGATGCTGTAAGTCATTAGGAGATTATATCTGAAACGCCTATACTTTATTAAATAAATGTTCAGTTATTTCAGATGCTCTTCATGACTCTTGAATTTGAGTCTCCGAGCTGATTTCATGGCTCTCTGTTTGATATATCCCAGTATATTACTACCCTTTAAGAGTAAGGGGATAACGTTATGTTCCCATACTCCAAATAGGGTTAAGCAAAACTGCTGAAGATAACGTGGAATGTTCTTCCGTCGAACAGGCCAGAAATGGGCTTCAACGTTATCAGTGCAAGGTTTGTTCGGAAAGCATTTTTGTCTCAGTAAGTGCAGGACTTCAGACCGTAAGATGTTAACAATCCTATATCTCTTTCAATTTGTGATTTCTGTGGAAAGGAGTTACCTAAGTTGTATTCGTAGTTTAAAACATGTCTCAAATGAACTATGTCACACTTTGAAGTGTTAGAAATATATCCATTGTTATCCGCCCAACTTTGAAGTCGAGTCAAATCCTTCTTAGGTGCCGACTTGTCACGTTGGCTGACAACTTATTTCCAAAGAAGAGTAAAGAATCAGACTATACTTGCTGAGGAACGTCATCTACATAAGTTAAGGAAAGAGGTGGTTCTAGTACTGAATCCTGAAGGACCCCATTAGGACGTTCCGAGGTTGATCGTTCATCTGTACACCCTGACTAGCTGGTTGGTTATACGAAAGTGACATTTTCTGAAACTGTGCTGTTGGGGTGAAAACAGGTTTATTAATAGTAAGTTATCACGTAGATTCCACAATTTTCGAGGTTGTAGAATTATTAGTATTGCCCTAATAATAGACCTAATTCTAAAATTGTAGATTTGTCATGACTACCTAATCTATACGACCTAATATGGAAGTCACATCGTTGTCCATAATGACTTATCGTAACATGACGCTAATATGATACTTAGTACCATTTAAGGCTAAAGATATAATAATATATTTAAAGTGAATAAACACAGGTTATACAGAATGACCACGCCTGCGAGGCTGAGCCACTTTATTCGATTCAATTCTCTATTCCTGCGTTCATCACTCATAGTCTTTTCTCCGTGTCAAATCTTGAATATCTATTTTCCCAGTTACCTCATGTTCAGTTTCGAGGATTGTGTGGTTAGGACCAATACTACTATGAGGGTTTTGACTGTAGTGCTACCAGTCGGTAGCTTGAGGGTTCCCTGCATTGACACACCTTGAAAATGAGTGTAATATGAGTCAGCTCACAGATTTTTGGTAAACTATCAGTGTTCATATACAATCAAATTGTGCTCTCAATTTGAAACGCGTGAGCCTACCTGTCCTGTATATCTGATGAAACCTATGTAAATTGACAAGTAACTTACCGAGTTGGTAGCCCCTCTCCCTTGAACTTTTTCAACAATTCTGACAGTTCACAAGTGGAACAATCAGCCTCAACATGCTTTTGTCCTTGAATCAGGTGGCCTGTCGGAACGCACGCGGTCTTCAGCTTGCAGCCGACCTTTATTAGCCAAAATACTTCAAGAGTAGCAACTGCCATATGAGATTATGGGAAGGTTATTTTCACTAGCTGGTGTCCAGAATACTCGTTATTCTTGGCTAACCGTATAGATTCTTGAGTCAATATTTTCTTGAACTTCAAGGATTGCTTTTGCAATTTCTACTCTAAAATATCATGGTCTGTACTGCCGGGGTCTGTGTTTTATGGGACACCTTGCACAATGATATTTTATTATTAACGGCTATATATATATATATATATATATATATATATAATAAAGGGAAAAGCCAACCACCACATTAACTCCTTTTGACCTTGTACGACTGTATCTCTTTATTAACCGATCACAGTTTGATGTTCATTGCAAAACAATATTTGCTTGTTGACTCATTTTTCCTATTCTCTGGCTACTGTTAAGTATGCTATTTGTCTCTGTTTTTCCCTGTATTAATAGACCGTACTGTTTGTTTGTACACTAACGACGTTAATTTGTGTTTTAGAAACAGATAAAGTTTATATCGCCAAATAGCTTGTTTGTTCTGACTTTGGCCAAACCAAGACTATATTCCGCGGTCTAGAGAATAGCTCAGAAGTAAACCTGTAGGAAATTGCTTCCTACAATAACATCAGTGGTGTTTTCCAGCGATCCATCTGTAAGTGATTCACAGTTAGTCGCACGAAACGTGTTTTTCTGATTTTGAATATGTTTTTCTGGGTAATTTCTATATTTTTCTTTTTCGGTCTGATGCAAGAGTGTACTCTTTTTATTCTTTCCATATACTTTAGGTAGAACACGAATTATAAAGTGATGCAAGCTAGAAAATGAAGCACGTTTACGAGTCACATATATACCCACATCAATAATGTAAACAAAGTCTAAATGAGCAACCAAATCAGTAGGAAAATCTACTACATTTTGGTGACCTAGTGATGTAAGGAAGCTAAAGTCACATGATTTGAAATCACCACATACAACTGAAAGTTAATTACTGAAGGCAGTAACAGCGAACTCTGTGAATTCACCAGCGAAAACAGATAACACAGATGATCACAAGCTCCCAACTTTGGGGAAGTCCCCCAAATATGCGTTGCGCATCATTCCAAAATAACATTTCATCACCGTTGTATTATTAAACCTTTGAATATTCAAATACAATTAAGAAATATCAAATGTAATAAAATAATGACTTTTGGTCACGAATAGTCGATCGAATTTAAGGTTTTGTTTAAGTACGTCTAAAAGACACGAGACAATGAGTCATCGACTTTATAGCACTTTTCCAAATTTCTCACGCCATGCAAGTTGGTTATTTGTTTTGTCCAGAACGTCGATTATTGTTTTTGTTCAGTATAACTCAAGTTAATTGTCTCTTTCAGAATAGTAATTTACCGCTTGATAAGATCGCTAAAAGGCGGGTTAAAGCCACCAGAGACTTGATTGGCTGTCCCAGATCAACCTATTACAGAAGGCTGCGGGAGTTAAAAGCGGAATTCACCAAAAACTATCAGCTAACGAGCAATGACGATGAGAACGTCAATTCAGTTGTCGTCATAGAAGTAGGGACAATCGCAGCTACAGAGCAGTGTGTTAATATTGTCTCACAAACAGCCACTGCTTCATGTAGTTACGCCCCGGTCGACTTTCCAGTTGTCAACATTGTGACAGGAAAAGTTTCACTTATAGCGAAGTATGTACCTATTTAATCAGTGCTCATAAAGTAGTTAATCGAAAAAAGGTTTTCTCATCAACGCTTCCATGTACATCAACGGAAGTTAATAAACCACGAGTTGGATTTAATGCAATCATGATAAGAAAGGGTTGTACAATGATGACAGTAAAACGCTAAGAATGATTTTAAAAGCAGTCACTGAACTGTCTAGCACGATGGATAAACTTATCTTTTTCAATGAATGCTCATCTATGGGTGTCATGAACAGACGTACCGACTAAGCAGACACTCCTATTGTTTTCCTATTAAGAACACATGAGGAGTTGAGTTTTTTGAAGTTGCTTTAGATGAGTTAAAGTTCCGTCATCAGTTCGTAGTTTGTAAAAGGTGTTTGAACAAATTATGGGTGGCCAGTGTACGAGCTCATATGTGATGACCCTCGTAAATCAGCAAAAGCCTATCTAAGTTACCTGTTGTCGCCGGAACTGGCGAAGACGTGCACTTTACACGGAACTAAAAGTAAATTTGGTATTAGTAAGTACAAATTTTACCGGACGATTCAAAGTAAGTACACAATACAGTATCAATATGTTTGCGGGTGTTCTGTGTTCCCGATTCCGTAGTGCAACCTGTCCCGAAAAAGAAGTACTACACGTCATGTATGTTGCAAGCCAGGCTTTCTTGCATGACGCAAGAGATAAAGTAAATAGGCGTGGATGGCAATCCAAAGAAATGGTGGGCTAAAAGCACCTTACGTGTTTGATCTAATGCATATTTCAGTTTTAATTTTACTTCGTGATCAATACTTTTACTGAAACAGATTTTCTTGTCAGTAAAAAAATTAATTCTTGTCCATCTTGCTTCCAGCTGGATTCGCAATTTTTAACAGACGTAACTGTAAGTTTTTTGTTCGCATTATTAACAACATTATCAGACCGCTGGTACGTCATGGACGTTTTTCATATCATGGCATTTGCTTATAAACTAAGGAATATTTTTTTATTTTTGTAGAACATTGTGACTGATAGTTCAACGTCTACGTAACGTGCTTATGTTACAAAGCCATGAAA